GAGGAGATAGTAGCATCTCCCCTTTAAGCATAACTAAAGTGCTGCGAGTAAACTTTGAAGATGCCACTGTTGCGTGGGCAGCTGCTATCGACTCATATTTTCAGAAAAAAAATTTACTGCTGCTTGACTCCTAACCAACTTCAAAATGTTCGTAGAAAGCAGCGTATTGCTACATTATTAGAGGGGTAATCATGGGCATTAATAGCATTTTCCTTCAATTTGTATTAAGAACCCTAGCATAAGTCAATGGCATACCCAATCTTCTTTCCTAACCCGCGCAGCTAACTTTTATGTCAAAGTCGTGACATAAAAGACGTTCCTACGACTTCACACGTGACCGTTTACATGCTGTTGATGTCTCTTCAAGATGACTTTCACTGAAAAAGCGCTTTGCCAATCTGCGAGCACTGGTTACTGGTTGGTCTTAAGACAGAAGCTATGTGATTTGCAATAAGATATGTCTTCGAGGAGAGATTAAGAAACTACGGTTTCGGGAATCGACTTTGGAGCGCACGAGTTTCTGCTAGAACTTCGATTTGAAAATTACCAATCTCTCCAAACTTTCGCAAACACCCTAAAGCAAATTTTTATGGGATTCGGCTCTATATCTAAAATATATAATTCGAACTTAATCGAACCATTTTTGTAGCGATAGAAGTTTTGGCAGGTCATCTCTAAAATTTCATTTTCTGTACTACATAGAATTTGGAACATTTCTGAAGGGCACTTGACTTACGGTCCAGTTTGTATGAGATGCTAACAATCTCGATTCCCACCGCGCTTTTCCTTAAAAACAAAGAAAAATTTGTTGAAAAGTTCGATTTTCAAACTCCGGAAAATTTGTAGGGTCAAAAGGCGACAACTAAGAAAGTTAAACGCAGAAACGGCTAGAACTTGTGTCGGACACAAATTGTGGAAGTGTGGGCGGAGCAGCTTTTCTGAGGATATCTTCTTGAGAACACATTATAGCATGAACAATCAGCAGAAAAGACTCTAGTTCAGTTATGGTTCATTCGTCTAAATGGTTGATGATCTGCACTCTTGACCATTATAGAAGTAAATGTAAAGATTATTGAATCGCCCCAACTATGAGTGTGCATCAGTGCACAAATGAGCATTTGCACCTAATTCCATGAAGCTCTAATTTTACACTTAAAGAAGTCTAACGTGTTTATGAGATGTAGAATGATAATGATAACAATGAAAGAATGTGTACAACTGGCTCTAGAAGACATTGCTTTTACATCACATTATCACATCCTCCACTTGTTTTATGGAGGGTGATGAATTTTGGATTTAATGGAGGGTCAAAACCATAACCTCTTCATGGTCAATAGGTGTTCTAGAAATCTTGCCATCCTCTTTACTTTAGTGCTTTAACAGAGTTTTTCTAAAAGAAACACAACATTTCCCTTATGACAAGTAATCATTTTGTTTGCCCAACCGTTTGTCTGCAAGACCCTTTGAACTTCGGACCATCTGAGGTAGTGACGTAAAACCCTCTTAAGTTTTGAGTCATGACAAAAACACGACTCTTCTGTAATGTAGTTTGAAAAGCTAAGGGAATTTAACTTCGCTCCATGCACAGCGTGTAACATCATCAGATGACAGATATTAATGCAAAACTGCGAAAATTGGAAAGTTCAAAAAAAAAAACAATGTTTAGACATCATAAACACTATTTCCTTT